CAAAGTGTTATTACTATTATCTACGTTACTGTATAATTCAATATTTTGTAAGTAGGCTTCATCTAATCATATATAAACATGTATTATAGGTGATCGTTATTATGTTAGGAATTCCGTTGATTTCTTCACGATTATCTAATGTTTTTATTGAAATTTTATGTACACAATTTTTTGTGTGGGTAAAATGGAGGTAGGAAAATTCTGTTTTGTGAATTGAATAATTAATAAAACCATATCAGTTCAACTGATTACAATCCTGTGAGGTGGGGTCGTGGATGCGCACTACTGAGGAGTCCCACATTAAGATGAAATGACCGTCCAGTGTTTCCAGGTTTTTCATGGTGGTCTAGCTTCAATTGACTCTTGATCTCAATTATTGAAATTACTAAAATCTACACAAAACCCTTTCTTATTCTAATCAACATATGCTCACTAGTGACTAACTTCGAGAGGTATATCCTGGAGTTCTAGTGAGAAGTAGTGACCAGTGGAGTTTAACTAGGTCTGTTGTGGGATAGTAACTCACTGATGACAATGGTGGATGTGTCGCTCAATTTCGTGGATTAGTTGAAGTTAGACATTAACACTGTTGGATGCCGGCCAGCTCAGTGGTCTAGTTGGTTATGCGCCTGGCGCGAGACTGGAGGTTCTGGGTTCGAATCCCGCGAGGCGGGGTCGTGGATGAGCACTGCTGAGGAGTCCCACAATAGGACGAAATGGCCGTCTAATGTTTCCAGGTTTTTCATGGTGGTCTAGCTTCAACTGACTCATGATCTCAATTATTGATATTACAACAGTATTATCGTATTGTATTTCATGTAGTTTTCCTCTAATTTGAGTTGACGCGGATATTTCTCAAGTTCCGTACTCCATGTCAATCAGTCAGCTACAACGTAGAATCAGGCACATATGTGCATTGCCATTACCTCATTAGCACAACAAGATGAACACACCGTAATCCATGTAAAAAAAAACATAACATCTAGTGCTTTTTATTCATATGAATTATGACTTGATAACTTATGGGTATCGTATTCGTCGGGAAACTTGAAATATATAATTCAATCGAATAGGAGATCTCATGCTTGAACATACTTGAAAAACTCTCTAGAATAAAAGGATGTGATTTAGTTGTCTTCTAAGATAGCACTTGAGATGAGGTGAGCTATTTTTATGGGCAATGTTTTTTTGTAATCCTCTCTTTCTGTTGTGAAAAGTTAGCATCTGTGTAGATCTTGGTTGTTTGATGTTAAATACGACCTAGTACAATTGATTGTACGATTACTCCCCTATACCTTATGTTTGTTGCCTTTAGTTTTAATGCTTTCCCAACTGATATGCCTAGTGTGGTACATGCTACTTTTTCTGATAGATATAATTAGTATGTAACTATAATCAGAAGTGGAATATTTGCTAGCAGTAGATTGAGAAAATTAAATTGAAGAGATCAGGTAAGGGAAACAGATAGCAATTGTAGTAATATGTAAAGTACAACTGAAGGAAAATGTGCAAATACTGTATTTAATGTGTGGTTTTCATATTTTACGAAGGTATTGTGTAACTTCGAGTTAAACAATAAACTGGTTTACCACACTTGAATTCTCATCCACTATAGTAGGACTTAAAGAAACAAGTATTTTAGCCAATATTTCACGCTTTTACCATCACAACAGGCAAGCCTGATCACTATGTCAAGTTATAATAGCTACGGTTGAGTATTTGGTAATGTCTGACTTTCGTTGGTTTACTAATTGATATATCACTGAATTATTTAAAGGATTTTCTGTAAAGATTGTTTTTTCGGGTCTATTGATATTAGTATGGAGATACACTACTTTTCAATTTATTGACTGAAGCTCATCTCTATAACTATATAGATTTGTACCTTGATGGATGGCGTTTGTTGATGTCCGAATAATTTAAAGGATAAAGGCAACCAAACTAAAGAATAACATCAATTTAGTGACGTCATGAATTGTTATTCTGAACCATTTTGATTGGTGCAAACTACCTAGTTGGTATTTATGCGATAACAACAATTAGTAGCTAAAGACTTTTGGCGGAACGACTCACAATTGTTCACATTGGCTAATTTACATCTATTCTATCTTTCTCTTGATTTTGCATTCTAGTATTCTTTATTTATTTATTTATTTGAACACATAAATTTTGGTACAAAGAGGCACTGAATACATATGCACTACACAAGTCACTTGATTTGTGTTTGTGCTATGATACTGCCCGGGTGCTCAAACCAAAGCAGGTGGTTTGTTTTAGGGGGTCACATCCGGCGCTTTCGACCTAAAGGTTTCACCTACAAGACAGTGAAGCAACGTAAGGAGATGCAGTCCTATGGTGGACGGTGATCAACGATTGGTTCACAAGCCATTTGTTCGCTCAAGATCCTGAAGTCAACCCATGTTTTCCGACACCCCTTGTTGGATCCTCCATATCTACCAACCCGGATATTCTTTTATTTTCTTCTCAATTTCTTAAACAACAGTACTGCTGCGAGAAAACAGTAGGTAGGACTTCCCTGGTAGTGGTTGTTTATGCATGGCCATGTAAGAGCGTTTCGAGAGAGAGAGGGAGAGAACTCTCCCCACCCTCGGTCGTACTAGAGCATTTCGGGAGGGGTTAGAAATGTCTATCATAAGTCCTTCAGATATTGATCAAGTTTAGAGAATTGACCATTCAACTAATTGATTCAAATGTACTTTACTTGATATTTAATTTAAGTGATTTGATTGAAAGCTTTAAGATGTTGATTTCGTGTTTTGCTGTGATACTTGTTATTATCAGAAGGATTAAAGTTAATTAGGTGAAGCCTAATGTAAATTATATTCCATTAATTATACAAATAGTCAGTCAGTTACAATGTAGTATCAGGAATATATATGTATCGGTTCAAGTTGCTACATCTAATTAACACAACAAGATGAACATCGAATTTACAGAAGTAGTTAATTCAATGGTAGTAATATATACAAAAAGATTGTATATAAGCATATAATACAGGAAGAAAGGTTTAAAGCAATTTAACCACTGCCACAGAAGTCCTATTCAATGCCTTCTCTTAACCGGAGCGTTGTTTACAAAATTGTGAGTACGAACAGCGAATGTCTGGTGTTTTAACCGGGTTGGTGGACGCGAAGAGTCTACCTAGGGAAGTTGGAAAACACTGTTTACAAACCAATGGTGCACATGAGCTAGTTCCAGAATCATGAGGGAATAAATGAAGTATGAACCATGGGACTTTATCTCCTGACCTTGCTCCACTGCCTAATGGATTAGACTTTTAGGTCGATGGCTCCTGATGTGGCCTCCTAAGAACACTACGTGTTTCGATTTGGACATCCGAGCAGTATCCCAGCCCTCAGATAAACCGAATGATTTATGTATCGCATATCTATTTGTTACCTCCTACCAGTGGAATAAAATTATCAAAGTAGATTCTAGAGTAGTAGAAGTTGTAACAGTATTTATTAAATATAAAGTGTGAAATAAGATTGAAACTTAAAATTTAAAAGAAAAAACATAAACTGAATTCATCTGAACCCATTATGACTAATTCTGATCCATGTCATTCAATGTTGTTGTTTTGTTTTTTTTTTAATCGTTATGGTTATAATACGGGCACTAAACTCTTGTAACTAGGACAACTACTTGTACATGAAATAACAATGGTTAATCATAAAATTATGTTCTGTTAAAGAATTTACAAAAATATCCCTTTTTTTATAGTTGCTAAACACTTAGAAACTCTAAGAAACTTTGTATCCAATCAATATTGAATAGAATCTTTGCAAAATCATATAGAAAATACTTTAGTTTTGATTAATTATTAACTTCTATACTTAATATGGTTCTAGATATTTAAAGAAGTCTAAAATAGTATATACCTTTATAAATCCCTATTGGAAACGATAGAACCCTCCATAAACTTACATTTTGTAATTTTATCTTATCGATTAAATGTTTAAATATTTGAATGGTAGTCCATTGACGAACTTATTGATGAAATGTTTGAAAGTTTCCATGACAATATTGATTATATATATTTGTATAAATACGCTTGATGTGTGTTTCTAACTGACTTGGTGGTATCTGCTGGTTTATTTATTTATTTATTTGAACATATAAATATTGATACAAGAGGGCACCAAATATATATGCGCCACACAAATTTTCATTCTATTTGTGTGTTGGTTGTGATACTGCCCGGATGCCCAGACCAAAGCAGGTGATTTTCTTAGGGGGACACACCACAAGCCTTCGACCTGAAGATCTGATCCACAAGGCAGTGGAACATCGTAAGGATATGCAGTCCCATGGTAGCCGGTGACCAAAAATTGGTTCATAAACCATTTGGTCCCTCAGGATCCTGGAGCCAGTCCATGTGCACCATTGGTTTGGGATCCGGTTGTAGCGCCGGGCGTTCGCTTTTCGTCCTCTCAATTTCTTAAACAACACCCGGGGTGCGAGAAGGTAATGAGGAGGACTTCTCTGGCAGAGGCTATATACGCATGGCCATGTGAGAGCATTTTTCGAGGGAGAGCGAACTCTCCCCACTCTTGGCCACACCAGTACATTCGGGGGCTATATAGGTTGGTTGCCTATAGAATACACTTTCTACGTCTTACCAAGACTTCTTCATCGAATTAGTCAATTCGGGGGACAACAGATCAGAATAGCCTATCGAGTCTCTGAATCCAACAAAACTTCGTTCCGTCCCGAGTAAGACAAATCAGTAGTAGCATTCAATCTTTAACGAACATAATAATTCCCTCAATTTTCTTCATATAAACTAACATTAAAGTAAAGTATTCATTCATAATCTACAATTGATATGTAAAAATATTTCAGAACAATCTAAGAAGACAATATAAAAGGTATATCGGTAACAAAGACTAATTATATTGAATGAAGTAAATTTTTAATTTATCAAATTTATTTCTTTTTCTCTCTCTTTTATTTTTTTTTTCTTTTCTCTCTTTTAGATATTTTGAATTAAAATTGGCCAGTTTATCTATTTCAAATAAAAAATTTCAATTATATTCAAGGTGATGAAAATGTTTTATTGTTGTTGTTTTTATTTTGTTTATTTTTATTTAACCATATAAACATTGGTACAAGGAGGCACCAAATAGATATGTTAGGGCAGGAATACTGCCTGGGTTCCCAAACCGAAACAGGTGGTGTTCTTAGAGAACCACATCAGGAGCCTTTAATCTAAAAATCTTATCCATAAGGCAATGGAACAACGTAAGAAGATGCAATCCCATGGTAGCCGGTAACTAACGATTGGTATTGTACACATACCCCACCCTATTATGTACATTAGCATTTTTATTTAGATTGTCACTTGCCAATAATTTGACATTTTTATTATCGATATATTATCACGTAAATATTTATTTATTGTTCATTTCCATGTGAATTGGCTACAAGATAAACCATAATAATAATAATAATAATAATAATAATAATAATAATAATAATAATGATAATAATAATAATAATAATGATAGTTTTACTATTACTTGTTACTACTATTATAATTAATAACAGTAGTAGTGAATATAGAATTGTTTATTTAAAACAATCATTAAACTATAATATCCATCATACTGGATAAGACTATATTTGATTTATTTAGTTGATTAATGTTGTAAAATCTGTATATAAAATGTAAAGTGAGTAGATGCTTTCTATGTATGTGTGTATGTGTGAGAGAGAGAAAGTTTACGTTTGTATTCACGCCAGTATATGTAGTACATAGAGTATTTTATTCTTCTCGTATTCTTGTTATTTTATTGATTGAAATCATGAACTGATTGATGTTAGATTACCATTGAAAACCTGGAAGTACTTGACGACCGTTTCGTCCTATTTTGAGACTCCTCAGTGGGAGTGGGCATCCACGATCCTGTGAGTGGAACTCGAACCCAGGGCCTTCAGTCTCGTGCGCGAACGCTCAATCTACTAGACTACTGAGCCGGTTAGCATCCAACGGTGTTAATGTCTAACCTCAATCAATCCACGAAATCGCGCGACCATTTTGTTGTTTCGAGCTTTTGCTTTAGCAATAGCTAAAAAAAAGAAGTGTGTGTATTTATGCATTATGGTAGTGTTTTCACGGTTCCCTGTATTTCTAAGAAAAAACATAATTTTCTGTATAGTTTTCGTGAATGATTGTAATCTACGCCATCGTATTCTATCTTAAACATCTAATTGCTTATTTTTGTGTATGTATTTAGTGGCTTATTGAGTTTACAATCATTATTTATTTAGATTATAAATTTAAAACAAAGGAAGAAAATCGAGACTGATAAGTCCTGGGTTTGAATCTCGCTAGCGGGATCATTAATGCGCACTTTTGAGGCGTCTCATACTAGGACGAAACGGCCTTCCAGTACTTCCAGTTTTTCTACGATGGTCTAGCTTTAATTGACTCATGAATTTAACTATTACTATAATGCCTCCGAATGCCCTGGTATGGCCGAGAGTTGGATGGGCCCGCCCTCCCTCTCGAAATGCTCTCACATAGCCACGCGTATATAGCCCCTTTCAGGGAAGTTCTACTCACTGCTTTCTCGTGGCATTACTGTTGTTTACGAAAATGAGAGGACGAAAAGCGAATGTCTAGCAATTTAACCGGATCCCAAACCAATGGTACACATGGGCTAGCTCCAGTATGCTGAAGGAACAAATGGCGTATGAACCAACCGTTGGTCACCGGCTATCATGGGACTACATCTCCTCACGATGCTCCACTGCCTTGTGGTTTAGACCTTAAGGTTGAAGGCTTGGGGTGTGGTCCCCTAAGAAAACCACCAGTCTGTGCAACCGGTCAGTATCATAGCCCACACACAAATAAAATTTTGTGTGGCGCATATATATTTGGTGCCCTTTTACAAAAAGAAAAGCATTAAAATATTCCACTTGATTCACTGTAATAAATTAGTAGCATTTAATATGATCAATCGTGTGGTCTACCTACATTCATGATTTTCATTGATACATCAAAAAGCACATCAACTACAGAATATTTGTCAGTTTCCTAAATTGAATTCCGCGATGAGGCGGGATCTAAACCTGGTTTTGTTTTTTTTATTTAAGATATATCAAATGGATTGAACAAAATTATCCTTCATTAGGCAAATGTGCTGATTTACAAAATGTTCTCTATCGATCTATACGAGATTCATCTAATTTACCGGGAATAAAAAATAATGATACTTATGTGGGAAATTGGATTAAACTTGTAAGTTCAATATATTGCATATATATATATATTCTGTAGATACACTATTGAAATGCCAGAGATTCTGAATTGTTATTTATTATTATTACTTTATTTTAACACATAAGTATAGGTACAGGGAGGCACCAAATACATATGCGCCACACAAATCTCAATTGATTTGTGTGAGGGCTGTAATAATGCTCGGGTGCCCAAACCGAAGCAGGTGGTTTTCTTAGGAGGCCACACCCCGAGCCTTTGACCTGAACGTCTGACCCACAAGGCAGTCGAGCATCGTGAGGAGATGCAGTCCCATGGTAGACGGTGACCAACGATTGGTTCATACGCCATTTGTTCCTACAGGATACTGGAGCCCATGTGCACCATTGGCTTGGGGTCCGGTTAAAGCGCCAGACATTCGCTTTTCGTCCTCTCATTTTTGTAAACAACAGTAATGCCTCGAGAAGGCAGTGAGTAGGACTTCCCTGGCAGGGGCTATATACACGTGGCCATATGAGAGCATTTCGAGAGGGAGAGCGGACTCTCCCCACTCTCGGCCGTACCAGGGCATTTGGGGGCTTCTGAATTGTTAGTAGTATATTCAATAGTTCTTTGATTGTACATATCATCATTTAGTTGTTTATAATCATCATTAGATTAAATGTAAGTTGTACGTTAGTTTAAATATCTAAAGCAAATTAAGATAATAATTACAAACTGAATAGATGATCAATAGAAGTTAGAACATATAGCTACTTTATTTCATTCACAACTTTATCAAATAATCTACACAGTTTCTTATGTTTAGTTTATGTATATTCAAGTCAGGTAGTAAGATATCTTATATTCTTTATGATGTCAGTTTATAGGGATAACATAATATGTAACATGTAAATATAATTGTTTCAAGGTTTCATTATTTGCAATCAGAAATTGTCTGATTGTTTGCTACTACAACTTGTGGCCTCTGTTCTTTGTTAATATATAACGTAATGATATCGCCAGTTAGAGAGCAGTGACTTATCAATCGGACCAATGACAAGCAATCTACAGTCCTTATTGGTCCTGCTTACTGCCTAACACAGCCAGTTAAGTCCAGAACACCAATCTTAGCCTCTGTGCTATAAATCATTATATTTCAAACATACTGGGTTTATATACCAACCAGACAGACCACAATGTACCATAAAATAGGAAACAACATTTGTACAAGATTTAGCCAAATGTGGCTGTGAATGTGGGAGATAGTAATTAACAGACAGGGCACAACTCAAGAATGGTAAATTGTGTAATAATAATAATAATAATAATAGTTCATGGATCAAAATGAGGCTGATAATAAGAGGGACACGAATATGAACGGTTTAGTTACTTAACAATTAATATTCGTATAGCATTGGTTCATAAATGAATTACCAAAGTTACCATTCATTATTCTCGTCGGGATATAACAGTTACGACTAGAGATATTTATGCTAAATTTACTACACTTTGCGTAGTCTTATGGAGATGTTAGGTTAAAGAACACTCATATAAAGCCCATGTGTGATCGGTTTCAAAGAGTTTTTTGTTGAGGACTGTGGTCAAGATCTCAGGTCGTGTAGGCAACAAATAATGTAATTTACACTTCTTTGTTCTTCGAGAAGAACAATCATTTCAAGGAGTGGGAAGTCATCTTCATATTTCTAGCAACACTCGATATCAATTTGTAGTTTTCCCATTTCATTATGTAAAGTAAATGATCTTTCATGCGAATATATATTGAAATAAACAATGTGGTGGTCGACTGGATTATGGAAATCTCGATATCTGAGGGTAAACAGGGAATACAATGAACAACTCAGAATCAATTAGATGATTTGGACTTCGCAGATGATCTAGCCCTCCTATCCCATACACACGAACAAATGCAGATGAAGACAACTAGTGTAGCAGCAGCCTCTGCATCAGTAGGCCTCAACATACACAAGGGAAAACCAAGGTCCTTAAATACAACACGGAAAACAGCAATCCAATCACTCTTGATGGCGAAACTCTGGAAGATGTAGAATCCTTCACATACCTTGGAAGCATCATCGATGGACATGGAAGATCAGATGCAGAGGTAAAGGCGAGGATTGGCGAATCAAGGATAGCATTCTTAAAATTGAACAACAAATGGATTTCAAAACAACTTGCAACCAATATCAAAGTCAGAATCTTCACTACAAACGTCAAGGCAGTTTTACTGTACGGAACTGAAACTTGGAGAACTACAACAACCACCATCAAGAAGGTACAAGTATTTATCAATAGCTGTGTACGCAACATACTCAACATCCATTGGTCGGATACCATCAGCCACACAATTCTGTAGGAGAGAACAAACAAGCTTCCAACTAAAGAGGAAAATGGGGAAAGACGATGGAAATGGATAGAACATACTTTACGGAAATCATCAAACTGCATCACGAGGCAAGCTCTAACTTGGAATCCTGAAGGGAAGTGGAAAAGAGGAAGGTCAAAGAATACTTAACGTCGGGAAATAGAAGCGGATACGAAAAGGATGAATATTAACTGGTGAGAGTTGGAAAGGATTGCCTAGGACAAGGTTGGATGGAAAGTGTTATTGATCGGCCTACGCTCCTTCACGAAGAGTAACAGTCTAAGTAAGTGTAACATGATAAATGTCAAGAAGGATAATTGAAATACGACGATTTATCTTACTGTAGAACTAGATTACCTACTATAAGTAGTATCATCTATATAATATTTTATTATAAATTTACTTTCGGTCATTTCCTTTGGTTGTTATGATGAGTTTTTTGTTGTTATTGTTGTTGTTGTCTCAGTTTAAAGAAGAGAAAAAAAAGCGAAACAACAAACATTCATCATGAATAGTTTTATGAATTAATGTAACTTATCAATTGTTTACCTTGTCTACATACTCCTTCTCTTTTTTTTTCTCTTCATCTAAACTGAAATAATCATGTTTGTCTGATAGAAACAATTTAGATGAACCATTAACTAAGTGAATGAGTGAAGAAGGGAGCTAGGGAGGGAATGAATGAGTGAGGGAAGGAGGGGGAGAAGGGAGGTAATGAGTGAGTGAGTGTATGGGTGAGGGAGGGCGGCCTAGGGAATGAATGATCCATTAGATAAATGAGTAAATCTACCATGTTGTAGACAAATATATGCTCACTAGTGACTGGCTTCAAGAGGTATATCCTGGAGTTCTAGTGAGAAGTAGTGACCAGTGGAGTTCAACCAGGTCTGTTGTGGGATAGTAACTCACTGAAGATAATGGTGGATGTGTCGCTCAATTTCGTGGATTAGTTGAAGTTAGACATTAACACCGTTGGATGCCGACCGGCTCAGTGGTCTAGTGGTTAAGTGCTCGCGCGCGAAGCCAGTAGGTTCTGGGTTCGAATCTCGCAGGGGGCGAGGTCGTGGATGCGCAATGCTGAGGAGTCCCACATTAGGACGAAACGGTCGTCCAGTGCTTCCAGGTTTTCCATGGTGGTCTAGCTTCAACTGACTCATGATCTTAATCATTGAAATACAAAACTACTTGATAAAATTTTTCTTTCAATAAACAAAGATCAAACTACTTAAATGGTATTAAATCTACACATGAATACAAATGTTTAGTTATTATAAATTTCAGTTAATTTATTATGAATTAAAGTAAAAAAGAAAGACAAATTACATTTTTCTATCCTATTTATTCTCTGATTTCTCGGTAATCATTAGAAGTGTATCTAAATAGAATAAAAATAGATAAACAAATCATATTTTCCTGTTCATCTTTGTTTCTTTCTTTCTCTATCTGTCTGTTTGTCTGTATGTGTGTGTGTATAGATATATTTATTGTTTCATTTTATTTGAGTACATAGTACCTGTAAATGATTAAACTACTTTTTTTTCCAATGTACATTTATCTAAGTCTATGTTTTATAGATATATGTGCCCCCAAATGCTCTGGTATAGCCAAGAGTGAGGAAAGTCAACTTTTCTACTCAAAATGATCTCTCATGGCCACACGTATATAGCGTCCACCAGGGAAGTCCTACTCACTGCCTTCTCGTGGCGCGAGTGTTGTCTATTAAAATGAGAGGACGAAAAGTGAATGTCCCGCGCTTTAATCGGATCACAAACCAATGGTACACATGGGCTAGCTTCAGTATCCTGCGAGAACAAATGGCGTATGAAACAATTTTTGATCACTGGGTACCATGGAACTGCATCTCCTTACGATGCTCCATTGCCTTGTGGATCAGACGTTCAGGTCGACGGCTCGGTTTGTGCACCCGGGCAGTATCACAGCCCATACAGAAATATATATATATATATATATGGTGCCTTCTTGTACCAATATCTGTGTTAAAATAAATAAATAAATAATAAAATTCAACTCTTCCAATCAAAATGATCTCACATGGACACCTACTCACTACCAACTCGTGGCGGGATTGTTGTTTTCAAATTGAGAGAATGGAAAGCGAATGTTCGGTGCTTTAACCCGGTTAGTGGATACGCCGTATCCACCTAGGGGATTCGGAAAACCCTCAATTCAAACCAATGATACATATGGACTAGCTCCAAGATTCTGAGAGAACAAATGGCGTATGAACCTATTGTTGGCTAATGGCTACCATGGGACTGCATTTTCTGATCTTTCTTCATTGGATTAGACCTTCAGGCCGAAGGCTCCGGATATGGCATCCTAAGACAACCACCTACTGCGGTTTGGAACCTGTGCACTATCATAGCTTTGTATAACGAATGTGTATTTGGTGCTCATTTGTACCAATATTTATGTATTCACATAACTAACTAAATAAAATTGATCTATTTGTATGATAGTTGAAAATAATTAAAGAAAAACTACAAATTATCCATAGTTGTATATTTTTATCATCTATGATGCTCTAAGCTCAATAACTGTGATCAGTAGTTAAAACCTTTAGATGACTCGGTTCAGAATGATTTACAATCATACAAGTGTATTTACTCATCATCTTCTCTTAGATCTTGAATTCCTTTATATTGTATTCTTTTATATCCATCTTTTCATTATATGTTCTTGTATTGTATTCTTATTATTCAATCTTTCTTATTATCATCTCTGATACATTGTTTCAATTTGTTAGTTTCATATCATTCTCTTTATGTGATTTGAAAATTGAAGCCATATTTATCTCAGACTCTATGTTTGTTATAATCGGTTAATTGTTATTACATATACATAGTTCCATTTATCATTTTGAATAGAGCAAGAACAAAAGAGTCTAGCAGAATAACATGAATTCATTTTTATTTCGTTTTATTCTCGTCAGCTATTTACAACCTGTGATATTTAGAAATCATAATTACATAATAGGTTTAAATATGGGACTCCTCAGCAGTGCACATCCACGATCCCGCTCTTCGCAAGATTTGAACCCAGGACCTATCAGTCTCGCGCGCGATTCCAAACCAATGATGCACACAGGCTCCAGAATTCTGAGGAAACAAATGGTGTATGAACCAATTGACTACCATAGGACTGCATCTCCTTACGACGCTCCACTGCCTTGTGGATCAGACCTTAAGGTCGAAGGCTCGGGGTGTGGCCTCCTAAGAAAACCACCTGCTTCGGTTTGGGCACCCGAGCAGTATTACAGCCCTCACACAAATCAAATGTGATTTGTGTGGCTCATATGTATTTGGTGCCTCCTTGTATCAAAATCTATGTGTTAAAATAAATAAATTGTATTTGTATCAATAGAGATATTAGTAGATGTCAAACTACTAGCTGATGGGTGTTAATTTCAAATAAATAAATAGATTTAAATTGCTTACATGAAATGGTTTGGTTGGAAGATATAGTAGTATAGTACAGTATAACAAAAGTGTATATAGATTGAATAGACTGAATATTGTAAATATATATAGACATTAACACAATTGGATGCCAGCTCAGTGGTGTAGTTGGTTAAGTGCCTGGCGACTGACTAATAGGTCCTGGATTCGAGTCTCGCAGGGGGCCAGGTCTTGGATGTACACTGTCACTGAGGAGTCCCACAATAGGACGAAACGACCTTCCAGTGCTTCCAGGTTTTCCATAGTGGTCAACTATTGAAATATATATACTTTTTGTAAAAGAACATTCTACAATATTGATTGAAGCAAGAGTTCAAATGACCAGAACACAAATGATTACATAATGAGTAAACATTGATAGGAATATAGTGATGAATAGAGCTCAGTTAATAAAATAAGATTATTAATTTAGAAGATAAGTGAAATGAAAATCTCAATGATGTATGAAATGAAAGAAAGAGTTTAAAGAAAAGGATAACAATTTTAAGGTGCAACAAAGGAACATTTGTTACCAAGGCAAGGAAAAACTAATAACACCTGATAGCAATGACTTAATCAAACTTCATAAGTTTCAATGATTAAGATCATAAGTCAATTGAAGCTAGACCACCATGGAAAACCTAGTAGCACTAGACAACCGTTTCGTTCTATTATGGAACTCCTCAGTGGCAGTGTGCATCCACAACTTTGCAAGATTCGAACCCAAGACCTATCAGTGTCACTCGTAAGTGCTTAATCACTAGACCACTGAGCTAGCGTCCAACAGTGTTAATGTCTAACATCAGAACACTAGAGTCTGTTTGCTTACTAATCACCTTCAGGGATTACAACGTATCACTCTGATATCCTGCACTATGATTACACTTTTATTATGATGTCATTCTCTTTAATCTCTTCACTTTTTTTTTTTCTTAAAAATTCTTTTCACACTATTATTAGACAGAATATTGTAATCAACCAATTGAATTATTTGAATTATTATTTCGACAAGGTATTGGTACAATGTGTTCTGAATTCTATGTTACATGGTGTCAATTACTTGAAAAAAACAAAAATTATCGTAAAATTGCTTCAATTTATGCTCATGGTTTACGTGCTGGTGCTAAACCTTTATTATGGTTAGAAGATAGAGCTGAGTAAGTGATATATTAATGATAATTAAATGTTATTAGATTTAATGCTATTATGAGTTCATTTAGTCTGTGAATAGAACAAAGATTCAATGACCGTAGGACCAATAAACTAACTATTCGATGCGTCTCAACCCCGCTAACTAAAAGAAGAAGAAGAAGAAGTAGTAGTAGTTCAAGCTTGGAAAGGGGGAAATATATTTTGTAAGCTAGAAGCACAAGTGAATAATAACAGCATAAAACTGTCCTTGGGAAACGTTGCAAAAATAGCATACTAAATATACACAACGGACCAATAGTGTTAAAGATTCTCCTAAATGGGAAGTACGACATGAAGGTCAAAAGTTGCTTTTGGCGCGAAAACAAGGAAATTTAAATTTCCAAAAACTAAAATTATACAATTAAGGCATTTACCAAATGAGTCCTGGAGATGTAACATCCCCAAACCAATGTCTTGAATTTTAATGGAAATCATTCTTATTTACATGACATGATGATTGATTGTATTAATTAATCTCATATGGTGTATGTTTATGTATTTGATACATATATTTTTGTACAAGTAGTACTATGCAAAGGATTTGATAGAGTCGAAGATGTCACTTACAGATTGAGTGTATTATAGTGCTGAAATCAGTAAACCACTTATCAAGCCTATAAATGATTGACACGTTTAGATTATTCATTACATTGAACGCTGTAAATGAAAAGAATCAATTCAGTAATTCATGTCAATGTTCATGCTTCTTATTGTAGCTTATACTTATTTACTTACTTACTTACTTACGCCTGTTACTCCTCGTGAAGGGGCATAGGCCGCTCACCAGCATTCTCCATCCAACCCTGTCCTGGACAATCCTTTCAAGCTCTTTCCAGTTCTTATTCATCTTTTTCATATCTGCTTCTATTTCCCGACGTAATGTGTTCTTTGGCCTTCCTCTTTTCCACTTCCCTTCAGGATTCCAAGTTAGCGCTTGTCTCGTAATGCAGTTTGATGATTTCCTCAATGTATGTCCTATCCATTTCCATCGTCTTTTCCTAATTTCCTCTTCAGCTGGAAGCTGGTTGATTCTCTCCCACAAAAGGCTGTTGCTGATGGTATCCGGCCAATGGATGTTGAGTATCATGCGTAGACAGCTATTAATAAATACCTGTACCTTCTTCATGATGGTTGTTGTAGTTCTCCAAGTTTCAGTTCCGTACAGTAAAACTGCCTTGACGTTCGTATTGAAGATTCTGACTTTGATATTGGTTGAAAGTTGTTTTGAGTTCCATATGTTCTTCAGTTGAAGGAATGCCGCTCTAGCTTTGCCAATCCTCGCCTTGACGTCTGCATCTGAACCTCCTTGTTTATCGACGATGCTTCCCAGGTATGTGAAGGATTCCACGTCTTCCAGAGTTTCGCCATCAAGAGTGATTGGATTGCTGTTCTCCGTGTTGTGTTTGAGGACCTTGGTTTTCCCTTTGTGTATGTTGAGGCCTACTGATGCAGAGACTGCTGCTATGCTGGCTGTCTTATACTTATTTTGACACTTGTTAATCGAAATACTGAATCGAATTACGCTAGTCAATCATATGGAAACTGGAACCTAGTATATGTATTCATCAGTTAGGGTTAATAGACAATATCACTTTAGACGCTAGTTATTTGAGGGAAACAGCTTATTATCACCACATTTTAGAACAGTTAGCAGTAAAAATTCGTCTTTAAACCATTAATTTGTTACTTTTAGTCCTTCTGTTCCCCAACTGACCTGTTTTAACATGGTTGGGATCTTAGGAAACAATTCTTCTAATCTATATTGCTCTATTGAATCATTACAATCGATACATCTGATCGACATATCATAGTTGCAGCTAAAGTCTACAATTCGTCACTTACTGTTATATTGTTTGAGTTAAAGATTTATTGTTTTCTTGTGAACCTATTCTAATAGTTATGATATATTTTCAATCATTAAGATCATGAGTCAGTTGAAGCTAGACCACCATGGAAAATCTGGAAGCACTGGACGACCGTCTCGTCCTATTGTGGGACTCCTCAGCAGTGCACATCCATGACCTCGAACCCAGGACCTGCTGGTTTCGCGCGCAAGCACTTAACCACTAGACCACTGAGCTGGCCGGCATCCAATGGTGTTCATGTCTAACTTCAACTAATCCACGAAATTGAGTGACACATCCACCATTGTCTTCAGTGAGTTTCTATCCCACAACAGACCTGGTTGAACTCCACTGGTCAGTACTTCTCACTAGAACTCCAGGAAATACCTCTTGAAGCTAGTCAGTAGTGAGCATATGTTGATTAGAATAAGAAGGGGTTTTTATGGAGATTGTAGTAATTTCAATCATTAAGATCATGAGTCAGTTGATATAATCTAGGTGTGTATATCCCTTACGTTTTAAATTAAAGTTGTTTTTCACTTATCCACTAAACTGTTGAGAACGTTAGATCCTTAGAACTCACTTGGAAAAGGTTCTAATTTTGTAATTTTATGTTATCGCACCAAGAGATGCTTAGTTGACTTACAACTTATATTTCCCACTCGGAAATTATTGACTGTCATTGGTTGACGGATTGCTTTAGTACACCTATTTTGGGGTTCTCCCAATGGCGTTTTTTTTTCATTGCATAAATAAGGTTGATTTGTGTGCTTAGTGACATCATATTTTCTGGGTGCTTTTAGAATACATTCTCTACGCTTTATCAAGATTTCTGAATCTAGTTAGCGGGGTCATAGATAATGAATTAGAATAGCCTATTGTATCACTGTATCTTTGATCTTCATTCCGTTTACCGAGTATGATGAACTCATAAAAGCATTCAAACATATCATAAATAATAAATCACACTGTATGGGCTTAATCGTTTAAAAGTATTGAGCAAGTTTTACTATGTTTTCGAACGAATTCCAATACAGTTGGAGTTTTAATATTACGATTTTTCAGTCATGCGATGCTTTAAAGTGTAGGAGTAGGTTGAAAGAAAACTAGGGGCGGCCAGACCAAAACATGGCACAAATCCATGAAGTCACTACGGACAAGTGGACTGAGCCATGTTGGTACGTGCAGGCTACCTGGTTGATAACGGTGAGACGATAACAACAGATGGTTAGAGATATTGAATGACATGGCTCAAAATCGTTTGCAATAGTGTGAGCAGGTGCATCCACTCTTTATGTTCTCTCATACTCTAATCTTTTGAATTCTTCATGTCCATTGGATTATACTCTTTGAATAACATCTTCAAACCCTAATCTTTCCGATTACTGTTTATAATTTTACTACCTCTACCACTATGGGATTTGAATCGATAACTGAATCTCTGTGCTAATGTGGTATGGAAACTTGAACTCATGTACTTACGTACGAAGTTGCACGTTGTTACTGACTGATTTTCCAGTCTTTATCGTAATGTAATAAATACTCAATAATGCTGGTGAGCGGCCTATGCTCTTTCACGAGGAGTAACAGGCGTAAGTAAGTAAGCCATTGTTAGTATAATTCTTTCATGTTATCATGAAAACCTTCCAGTTACTTGGAAGTCTAAAAGAGAATGGATAAAAAGTTGTCTATGTTGATTATTCAAGAAAATTATAAAGATTTGAAAACTAATGATTAATTCACTGAACTTTCAAGTACAAATTCGTAATTTCTAACCTCCTTGGACTTTCAACTACCTCAAGTTGTATAGCCTAATGTTATACCTGGTGAATAGATTCGATGAAATTGTTCTTGATGTGTATCTTCGCTTACTTCCCCTTAAATTTTGTCGTAAATGATCTGAAACGTTATCATATTTATCTTGATTACTGTACATTAAAATGAAAATTGAAATAATTACATGACCAGGATTTGTAGTAAAGTAAAAAACATATGTGAATATTCCATTAAAGTGTTCTTCGTTTTTATTTTCATGGTTGTTTATATTCTTTTTGTTATAACTTATGGTCTATATGTGCCTTGTTAATGATACCGCTCATTGGGGAACAGTGAATTATCGATCGGAACAATCATGCATAAAACCTGTACGAGCAGTTCAGAGTCCTTATCAGTCCTCCTTCCCATCTAGCCCTGCCTGTTAAGTCCAGAATACCAATCTCAGCCTCTGCGATATGAATCATTATATTTCAAGCATACTGGGTTTATATACCAATCAAACAGAACACAACGTACCATAACATAGAAAATAACATTTGTACAAGATTTGGCCAAATGTGGCTGTGAATGGTGGAGGATAATAGACTGGGCATAATTGAAGAATGGTAAAACGTATAATAATAGTTCATAGGTCAAATAGAAGCTTATAATAAGATGGACAGGAATATGAATAGTTTAGTTATTTAAGAATTATAGGATAGAAATATACGCACAGTATTAGTCCATAAATGGATCTCAAAGTTACCATTCATTATTCTCATCGGGATATAACACTTTTGTAATAATATCTCCTTCTTTCCTGCTCTTCCTAATTTCTGCAGCAATTTGGAAAACTCTCCCAGTCTCCCACATTGTGCGAGCATTCCATGTACCTAAATAAATGGTTGCTCTGGTTGTCAGAAGGAGCATCGGCCTCGTGACTTCCGAAGAAACTCGGCTTTCATCATGAGGCGTCATAATTCTTCTAAACGAAGACCTCCTGACTCCCAGGGCAGAGTTTAAATGGTTTGAATAATTTTTTCTGGTTAGCGTTTTTTTAGCGAGTTAGTTTTCTACGGGATGGGATCGCTAACCCCATGCCCAACCCTCCTCCTTTATCCGGGCTTGGGACCGGCAGTAGCCCACCGAAAGGGACTCCAGGCGGAGTTTGCTTTTCCTAATAGTATTTATTATTTATAAAAACTATAATATTAGTGGTAGTAGTAGTAATAAACTACTTAGCGTAGCTATGAACGTTTGTCAATTGAGATTGATAAAACATATTTTCTCTTGTATTCCCGACCACCACTTACCTTCACACTCAATCCTGGATAACATAAAACCAACTTTGAAGAAAGCTAGCAATA